TATAACTTACCTCCTCGACTGTATGTTGCTCGTCATATACCCCTTTACAACCATGTAAAACAAGAATATCTAATGTAGACACATAACAAGAAAGCACCTTTATTTCTTATATTTTGCAAAGAATGTTCTGATTAAGAAATATAATATATAGTTGTTGATAACTCGGTTTAAGAAAAGATTTTAAAAAATCGCATCAAACATTATCAGTTGGAAAAATCGCATGCTGTCTGCTAAGATCCATCACATCGAGGGTGCCACGTATATTTTTTTTTACTCACAGGGGTAAACATACCCTTGGTCAAAAAATCCCAGCTTTAGACGAATTTGACTTAGTCATTGTCCAATGCATGTACAATTATAAAAGCTTTATAATATGGTAAGTTATATTATTTTACCTCTTTTTTCATGTCTTATAAAAGTTCTTGTTTTTGATAAAGACATAGATGCTAAAAGGGAAAAATAATCAAGTGAAAGCCTTCTTGTTATACAGGTGTTTTGATTTTTGAAGATAAAAATAGTTTATAGGGGTCTTAAATGTTTTTGCTACTATAACAACTAGGGAACATAGTGAAAAATCATAGGCAAAGGATGTTAAGATATATATATATATATATATATATTTTTTTTTTTTTTCATTTGGTAGGACTTTGTGTTAAGATATTCAGAAAATATTAAAGAGATCGAGTATCAAGTTTTATTCAGTGCCGACGTAAAAAATATTTCTCTCTTTGAATAGGGAGATTTGAGAAAATGTATGCATGTGTTACTTAAAAAGCTGTGTCTGAATGTAAATCACTATAGTCCGACGGTTGGGGTGATCGTCTTTTAAAGATAACAACTTATCTAGTTCCATCTCTTGCTGTATATTTGTAAAAAGGCAATGACGGGGGAATCGAGAAGTAAAGTTTGGTTGAATTATACACGTTGGCAAGGTTATTTGTGTCCTTTTATAATATTTTTCCCGTTCTTGTGGGGGGGGGGGGGGCAAAAAAGCATATTTGCTAGATAAATGAAACTACAATAACCAAAAATTGTCGTAGTCCGACTTAAAGATAGCAACTTATCTATCCCCGTCTCTTATAGCATGTTTGTACTGGTGAGAAAGATCATGACGGGGAAATCGAGAAGTAAAGTTTGGTTGGATTATTTCCTATCGGCTAGGCTAATTGTGTCTTTTTTACAATATTTTTCTCGTTCTTGTTGAAGACAAAACAGCATATTTGTTAGGTAAATGAAACTACAGTAACCAACATTAGTGGTTACCGTTGCATAGTTCCTTTTCTTTGTATATACTTGCAGGGAGGTACTATAGACAATTTTGTGGAGGGGGAGTAAATTACTGAAAAGCTAGTCCACTTTCTGTTCTGATTCATCTTTTTCTTATGTCATCATAAAACGGAGGATCTCTAATCGATGTTTACCCTGGTCTTTTTATATCAGAAGAGAATGCACTGTATTGACGTGCAAAGATACGGCTGTCTGCATAGAGTTATACATATGGGAAAGCTGAACATATTTCCTAGTTTGCAGATTGTACAAAAATTGAGAGCTGAGGCGGGAACACTTTTTGGGAAAAAACATTGCCTCTTGAGGTTAATTAGCAAATCATAGCTGGGTCGGCACATGGGGACAGGCGGTAGATAATTAGTTGTTCAGACGGAAATAGGAGGGGGAACCCCGTTTTTGGTCTCGTGCAGATGCGTTGAAAACCCTATTAATGCTCTCTAAATAGAATAAAACCTGGCGGCTTTTCAACCTGTTAGGTAATTAACCTGTTGTATAAGCCTGAAATTTTCAAACGTATGAGATAGTGGGTATCGCATTTACATTTATACAGAAAATTTAAACCTGTTATTTTTATTTTATTTGTATTATCACCTGTTAGGTGCGTTTTTGTGAAGGTCATAATAAAGGCATATTGAGTACAACAAGAGTTTCATGATCCTTTTGACTGAATTGTATTTTATTAGAAAGATGCCTTTGGGATGTAAGATAGCTTATCAATCGTCTTGCGAAGTTAAGAAATTTCTGTTGAGTTAGTCTTATTAGAGTTGCATCTTTGTTATATTATGCATTTGTAAACATTTGTAAAGATATTGATTATAGTCTTTGAAATTATTTTTTTATATATGCATATGGAGAGAGAAATGGATATTGCCATATACATATATATTTTGTCTTATATTTACATAATGAGAACATTGATAATCTTAGTAAGGGTTAAAATGGATTTCCTTTTCTTGATTGGTTACACCTCAAGGCGAGACTGCACCACCACCGTCATTACCTCTGAGCAAGAAGAAATGGTCATATTATCACCCTCGTTATATGGAACTCTGGTGATATGATTTGTATTTGTGTCTGTTTGTTTGTACTAAAGGCATATTTGAAGACCTTAATAAAGACATTGAGTACAGCAACGAATTTTATAATCCTTTTGACTGCAATGAATTCTTAATATTGAGGTGTTTTGGCGATTTAATGTAGACAACGTGTCAAGACATTTATGGATTATGATGAATTAGGGAGGGGTGATCACTCGTCTGTAGCAGGATTAATTATCGGTTCAGTTACATGTTTAAACATGGTGAATATTGCCAAAGTGTTTATACAATTGAAAATAAAGGTATGTATTGTATGACGAATTTTTATAATCTCTTACAGTTAATTGTATTCTTATCCCTGGTATGGCGAGGGAGGAACAGTAATTATCTGTTATTAGCAGACCTGTGTGACCTATTTAATATTGATTTTGCCAGTTAAGTGTGTTTATGCAATCGAAAATAAAAGCATATATTGTATAACGAGTTTTATAATCCTTTACACTTAATTGTATTCTTATCTCTGTCATAGTGAGGGAGGAGCAGTAATTATTGGTTGTTGGCAGGCCTGTGTAACCTAGTTATTATTGATTTTCAGTCATTAGGAGAGGTGGTTCCCTCGTCTGTAACAGAATCAATTACCGATCTCGGTACAAGTTCAAACATGGTGAATATTGTGGTATGGGTGGGAGGGGATAATGGGTGAGTCATCTATAGCATCTGCCTGTGTGTGAGACATCACTGACTATGGGTAATGATTTCG